CCGGTTTCCTCCCCCAGTCCAAAGACATGCATGGTAGGTTGATTGGCAGCTTGGTAAATTTACCAAGTGTAGTGTATGAATGGGTGTGTATGAATGGGTTTACCATCTGTAGTGTATGAATGGGTGTGTGAGTGTGCATGTGATTGGCACCCTGTACCCCGCCTTGTGCCCGATGCTTCCTGGGATAGGTTCCAGGTTCCCCGCGACCCTGAAGCAGGAATAAGCGGTTGAAGATGGATGGAAAATACAAATGAGTATTCAAAAAAGATTTAAACACAGAAACGGAAGATCTAATGTCAAGAGGAAGAATATTAAAAAGCCTAGGAGTAGCTAGCCTTAGCCTTAAAACGAATACAGGGAGAGAGAGGAGTTGAAAGGGTCAAGAAGGAGGATTGTAGAGGAAACCAAAGACAGAGAAACAGGGAAGGGAAACATGCCCTATTTCCAAGGAGCAGGAAAAGGAAAAGGGTATGGGTCAGATGAAAAGGGAGAGAGAGAGGGGAAAGAGAAACAGAGGAGCTGCATGTGACACCATGTGATCCTCTGCCAGTTGGACTGCCCCCATTAACTTTGCCATGGCAGTAGAACCATTCTATTATCCCTGGAAGCAGTCAGGTGATGAACTACTCAGAACCACCAGGTTCACAAATTCATCAGCTTCACTTTCTCAGCCAACAATCACCTTCGACTGGTGTCTGATCTCGTTCTGAGTCAGTGATTGGTGTCACTGATGGTTATATTTGGTGGTGTGGCCAACTTGCTGCAGGATCTCTCTCTTTAGATCCAAGTACTCTAGCAGATTAGTGAGGGGCAACTGTTGGGTTGCGACTGGACTTTCCCTGACAAGAGGGGAAACAGAAGGATCTCCTACTGTGCATCATCACATACTCAAAGTACTCACAGAATGTTTTGGAATCATCCTGTGGTGCCATGTTCATCACAATGATATGGGCCATGGGTGCTGTAGCCACCACAGCTGCCACAGGAGTACTACAGGGTGGGACCAAGCTCCGGACCTGAAAACACTCGTCAATCTTTAGTCTCCACCCAGAGGATAATCTCAACACACTGTTGTTGTTTAGCCTGTAGGTTAGGGATGGTCTGGTGTTGAGTTTTGTGGAGGCCAGTGAGAGTCTTTATGATCTCTCCAAGGGTCAAGGCCACGAGATGCAGTGTTTGGAGAGCATGACTGAGTTGTCACTTTTTTTGTTACATTTGCGCACTTTTAAGTATCCACACAAACACACTTTTCTACTTTCGGTTCCACTTGGTTTGGCTGTCCTTGGCTCTCTACCCACTGTCTGCCTGTGTGTGTGTGTGTGTGTGTGTGTGTGTGTGTGTGTGTGTGTGTGTGTGTGTGTGTGTGTGCGTGTGTGTTGTGTGTGTGTGTGTGTGTGCGTCTTTTTTCACTGCAAGACACACAAATGCAAATAGAGTCATGTTACTGATACACAGGTGTATGTTCTTTCATGGAATTACTCCGTCCTACTCCTGGACTCCACTCTCTCATCACAAATGCTGCTTAATGGTACCTACCCCGCACACTCATCTTAATGATATCTGTGAAAGGAGAAGAGTATGACCTGTATGTATGACCACTATAGGTGCATCTCAAAAAATTTTAATATTGTGGAAAAGTAATTTTTTTTTCTGTAATATAATTCAAAAAGTTGAACTTTCATATATTCTAGATTCATTACACATAAAGTGAAATATGTCAAGCCTTTTTTTGTTTTAATCTTGATGATTACAGCTTACTGCTCATCGAAATCCAAAATCCAGTATCTCAAAATATTAGAATAAAGAATTTATAATACAGAAATGGCAATCTTCTGAACAGTATGTTAATTTATGCACTCAATACTTGGTCAGGGCTCCTTTTGCATGAATTACTGCATCAGTGCAGCATGACATCAACCTATGGCACTGCATAGCTGTTATATAGCGGCCTTCAGCTTGTCTGTATTGTTGGGTCTGGTTTCTCTCATTTTCCTCCTGGCAATACCGGGTTAGGTGATTAAAAATGTAACAAAATCTTTTTTCAAACTTTTCCACAATATTCACATTTATTTTTAGATGCACCTGTATATGTACTCCTGACTCTCACACCCAAATGTGCTTGTTGAACATCCCATTTTGCAGGTACTTCCCCTGCTCCACTCCTATGGAGAGGCTTTCCAATAGATTTTGGAGCATGGCTTTTAGGTTTGTGTTCATTCAACTACAAAACCATTAGTAAGGTCAGGCACAGATGTTGGGTGAGGAGACCTGGGGTGCAGTCAGCATTCCAGATCATCCCAAAGGTGTTCAGTGCTGTTGAGGTCAGGGCTCTGTGCAGGACACTCGAGTTCTATGTCATCATGGCGCTCCTTTTATGCACAGGGGCATCATGCTCGAACATGTTTGGGTCTTTTAGTTTCAGTGAAGGGAAATTGTAATGCTAGAGCATATGAAGACATTCTGTAGAATTGTGTGCTTCCAACTTTGTGGCAACAGTTTGGAGAAGGAAAATATACAGGGTGTCCCAAAAGTCTCTATACATAGGGGACTATGTTTGCCAGCACCAGGTCGGTTGTGCCTTCCACAGAGATATTAGGGGGGCTGTTTTGCAATGTTCAAAGGAAAAATAAGGTGTTATGTATTCCAGAGGCATCTCTGCATTAGGACCTGGCCCCTCCATTACCCTGCAGCACTTTTCAACATGATCCATCACATCCGTACATTAGTGAAGGACTGAAATTACATGTACAGTGCTGTGAAAAAGTATTTCTTCTGTTTTTGTGTATATCTCATACATTATGTAGATCTTTGAACTAAATACAACATAAAACAGAGGCAACCTGAGTAAACACACAATACAGTATTTATTTTTATTTTGAATTGAAGCAAAAAGTTTATCCAACACATATCACCAATGTGAAAAACTAAATGCCCCCTTAAACTTAAAATCTGGTATCTTTAGCATCAATAATTACAACCAAATGCTTCTAATAACTGGAGATCAGTATTTCACTTACTATACTTCTAGAACTAGGACTTCCCAGCAAACAATTCAACGTAGAATAGTCGGCGAAAGGTCGCAAAGATTACCGTCGCTATGACCTATAATCAAACCGCTTTCAAGCCATAAAACGAGGACACTTTTATATACGCATTTTATCGTCGAAACGAAGCCTCTAAATGTAATGGCACTAAGTGGATATTATAAGGCGAAATGAAGCCTCTAACTGTAACGGCTCTAAGCAGATATTATACAGCGAAACGAAGCTTCTAAATGTAACGGCTCTAAATTCAGGCTTTTCCAAATTCAGTGAGGGCATAGCGCTTTCCTGTTCTTGTTTACTAAACAGGTGTTTTCCTGTTGACAGCACTTGAAATCTACACGTAACACATGTCTGAAAGAAAGCAACCTTTTCAACCTAATCCAAAGCGACTTACCAAAGAGAAAATACAAGCAATGTACTATCTGATCTCCAGCCATAGTCTTTACAAACATATCAGCAACATTCTGTTGACATAATTGCTCTGAGGGTACTCAGCACATGTTGGTAATCTTGGGAAAGAAGAATGCTAGTTTGGGGTTTGGATGTGTGAGCACAAATTGAACCTGAATCCACAAGCTTTTAATCGCATCAATGTCAAGGCTAGACTTTACCATCCAGAGGCCCGCCGAACCAATCTTGGCTTGCTTGTGGTGTGTCATCTAAGGCTGTAAGAAAGGCATAGCAGTTGCACAAACAGAAGAGTCTTTTATCAGGCACTGAAGAAATTCACACTCTGGATCTCTTCTATGATTGATGGGCAATTTTGCGTCCCTGTATTGTATCTCACTTTTCTCCAGGATTCGTTCGGAAGCAACTACAAAGGAGTTCTTGTTGATAGCAGTTGAAATTTACATGCAAAACACGTCTGAAAGCAAACAAATATAGCAGGATCTGAACCCACGAGGTTTTAATTGAATCAAGCCATGAAGCCACCACCCAATGCGACAAAGACCAAATCAAGGCTTGCTGGTGTTCTCTCTTCTCTGGAACAAAGGGATTGAAAACATCACTATAGTCATGCATCAGGCACTGCTGGGATTTGAACCCAGAATCTCCTGTTTACAAGACAGGTGCTTTAACCAACTAAACCACAGCACCGAAGGCCTTAGATGACACCTGTCTGAACTGATTGTTGACTCTTACTCAAGCTACGCTTTATGCCAATCGCATGCGGACATAGATGACATATTAAGGCATCTACTCAACCAGCCATGAAATGCACATTCTGTCGTGTCAGATTCAGAAAAATATAACCCAGACCATTGGTCACCAACCCTGTTCCTGGAGATACTCCTTTGAAGACCATAGCACCAGATAAAGTATTCTAGACATAAGCATCCTACAAAGATGCTGATCTGGCATATGCAGGTATGTTGCTTGTGACAAAATGCTGCTCCTACCGCGGGTTTGAGGAATGCTATGATACTCAACCTCTGATAAACAACAAACACAGGTCAAGATATTTATCCACAAACAGCACACAAGCCACGGCAGATCAAATATTACATTTACATTTATTCATTAAGCAGACGCTTTTATCCAAAGCGACTTACCAAAGAGAAAATACAAGCAATGTACTATCTGATCTCCAGCCATAGTCTTTACCAACATATCAGCAACATTCTGTTGACATAATTGCTCTGAGGATACTCAGCACATGTTGGTAATCTTGGCTAAAAAGAATGCTAGTTTGGGGTTTGAATGTGTGAGCACAAATTATGGCATGAAATTATGGCATGAACCCATGTCATGGGTATTTTCGAGGTATTTAAATTTAGCACAGTTTCAGTGTCAATTTGTCCAAACGAGTAGAAACATGGGGACCCTGATCACGTTGTTTTCAACAGGGGCCAAGAAAGCATTCCATCTAAGATGGAGAGTAGGGAATTGCCATATTCAACAAAATACACTCTCTCAAATAGAAAAAATCAGCAATACACTCCACCTGAAAGCAAATGACTCTGGAGGAACTTGAACCCAGAAGCTTTGAATAACTCCAATGGTGAACAAAGAAGTCCAATGCGCTATCCACTGTGCCACAGAACCCAGATAACAAGGAGGAAAGGTGTTAAGTAGCAAAGGTGTTTCCTATCAGATTCTTCCAAATTGAGTGAGGGCATAGCATTCACGAATCTGCGATTGCTGGTGTTTACTCCTTTCTGTAAAAAAGGAATGGAAGGCATTGGTCTTGAAAGAAAGGAAGGCTCCTGCATCAGACACTGCTGGGATTTGAAACCAGGATCTCCTAATTACGAGGCAAGCGCTTTAACCAACTAAGCCACAGCATCACAGTGCTTAAATTCAGTGTTGTTGAACTGATTGTTGACTCTTAATCAAGCTAAGCTGTATGCCAACGGCATGAAGACATAGAAGACACATTAAGGCATCTGCTCAACCGGCCACGATATGAACATTCTGTGGTGTCAGATTCAGAAAAAAGATAACCCAGACCATTGGTCAACAAACCTGTTCCTGGAGATACTCAATTGAAGACGATACTTTTGATAGAAAACAAATACGACAACTGAATGCACAAGATGTTTATATAATCATGCTTAGAAGTCACCATCCAATGTGACAGAACCAATCTCTGCTTGCTCATGTTTCATGGCAGGCAGTACCAAAGACATAGCTCTTGCAACAAGAGAATAGACTTGTAGTAGGCACTGCTGGAACAAGTGTTTTTTTCTGTTGATAGCACTTGAATTCTACATGCAACAAATGTTTGAAAGAAATTAACTCTGGATAGCTGAGCTTTGTCACCTTTTAGCATGAGGTTGACAAAGACGTGTATGGTCATCACAGAGATTCGAGTCCATATGATAGTATCCATATTAGACTGTGCAGAATATCAGTAGTCCGTGTGCAAAAGAGCATCCTCAATGACCACGACGAGATTTGAACACGCAACCTTCTGATCTGGAGTCAGACGCGCTACCGTTGCGCCACGAGGTCACAGCTAGTGAGCCATAGCGCATCATGGTGCAAGGCATATTTGTTCATGGTTGCACTGATCAAGACACATTGGAACTCAGAGACAAGTGGTGGGCTGTGACCTTTGCAGATCTCACCTCAGTGCGTGAGGGTGAAGCTTTGGACAACTTATACCTGAAGCGCAACTTGGAGACTCAACTGCCTATGTGATAGAACCATGGTTCAACTTTCTTTTGGTTAACTTCACACATTTACCACTTGTACGAGGCCTTTGTGTCATTATATGTGTCAGATGATGTGTCAGAATCAGTGGCAAGGGTGGAATAAAGCTGCTTCTTGCGAGTCATACAGAGCCAAGATTGCACGTCTGTTTGTGAGTGGGACTAACTTGTTTGATAGTCATTTGGTCTCCTTGTGCAGAAAAGACAAGTTTAATTAAATATGCTGATGCTTTTCAAATTATTCTCATACCATGACAAGCAAGGCATTCTTTGAACAAAGACAACACTTCAGAGTTAGCCTCATGAATAAGAGTTATGCTGGTAACAATTTGCAAGTGACATGATGGTCAAAAGGCAACAAAATGACAATCTTCAGGAGTATTTTGTTCAGCAAGAACAATCTGTAAACTAAGAAAACATACAGCAGTTTGCTAAGTTACTGATGATTCTTAGGTGAAAGAGTTGCTAGCTGAACTTTGTCACCTTTTAGCATGAGGTTGAAAAAGACATGGATGGTCATCACAGAGATTCGAGTCCATATGATAGTATCCGTATTAGACTGTGCAGAATATCAGTAGTCCGTGTGCAAAAGAGCATCCTCAATGACCACGACGTGATTTGAGCACGCAACCTTCTGATCTGGAGTCAGACGAGCTACCGTTGCGCCACGAGGTCACAGCTAGTAAACCATAGCGCATCATGGTGCAAGGCATATTTGTTCATGGTTGCACTGATCAAGACACATTGGAACTCAGAGACAAGTGGTGGGCTGTGACTTTTGTGACTAGAGTCTGACATCTGGGCAAGAGTTTCTTCAGAAGACAAGGCACAAGCCCTTTCACGGCATAACCTGACTGGCTTCCCCTTCCCTTGACTTTAAGGGAGATTTTCAAGCTCAAATGGCAGATCTCACCCCAGTGCATGAGAGTGAAGCGTGGACAACTTATACCTGAAGCGCAACTTAGAGACTCAACTGCCTATGTGATAGAACCATGGTTCAACTTTCTTTTGGGTAACTTCACACATTTGCCACTTGTACGAGGCCTTTGTGTCATTATATGTGTCAGAAGACTAAGTTACTGATGATTTTTAGGTGAAAGAGTTGCTAGCTTAACTTTGTCACCTTTTAGCATGAGGTTGACAAAGACGTGGATGGTCATCACAGAGATTCGAGTCCATATGATAGTATCCGTATTAGACTGTGAAGAAAATCAACAGTCTGTGTGAAGAAGAGCACACTCAATGACCCAGATGTGATTTGAACACACAACCTTCTGATCTGGAGTCAAACGCGCTACCAGCAGGAAAGCCATAGCGCAGGATGGTGCAAGGCATTCTTGTTCATGGTTGCACTGATCAAGACACATTGGAACTCAGAGACAAGTGGTGGGCTGTGACCTTTGCGACTAGAGTCTGACGTCTGGGCAAGAGTTTCTTCAGAAGACAAGGCACAAGCACTTTCACGTCATAACCTGACTGGCTTCCCCTTCCCTTGACGTTAAGGGAGATTTTCAAGCTCAAATGGCAGATCTCACCTCAGTGCGTGAGAGTGAAGCGGGACATCTTATACCTGAAGCGCAACTTAGAGACTCAACTGCCTATGTGACAGAACCATGGTTCAACTTTCTTTTGGGTAACTTCACACATTTACCACTTGTACGAGGCCTTTGTGTCATTATATGTGTCAGAAGACTAAGTTACTGATGATTTTTAGGTGAAAGAGTTGCTAGCTTAACTTTGTCACCTTTTAGCATGAGGTTGACAAAGACGTGGATGGTCATCACAGAGATTCGAGTCCATATGATAGTATCCGTATTAGACTGTGCAGAAAATCAACAGTCTGTGTGAAGAAGAGCACACTCAATGACCCAGATGTGATTTGAACACACAACCATCTGATCTGGAGTCAGACGCGCTACCAGCAGGAAAGCCATAGCGCAGGATGGTGCAAGGCATTCTTGTTCATGGTTGCACTGATCAAGACACATTGGAACTCAGAGACAAGTGGTGGGCTGTGACTTTTGCGACTAGAGTCTGACATCTGGGCAAGAGTTTCTTCAGAAGACAAGGCACAAGCCCTTTCACGGCATAACCTGACTGGCTTCCCCTTCCCTTGACGTTAAGGGAGATTTTCAAGCTCAAATGGCAGATCTCACCCCAGTGCGTGAGAGTGAAGCGGGACAACTTATACCTGAAGCGCAACTTAGAGACTCAACTGCCTATGTGATAGAACCATGGTTCAACTTTCTTTTGGGTAACTTCACACATTTACCACTTGTACGAGGCCTTTGTGTCATTATATGTGTCGGAAGACTAAGTTACTGATGATTCTTAGTTGAAAGTGTTTAAATTTTGCTCGCCCCTTTTAGCATGAGGTTGACAAAAGCATGTGGATGGTCATCACAGAGATTCGAGTCCATATGATAGTATCCGTTTTAGACTGTGAAGAAAATCAACAGTCTGTGTGAAGAAGAGCACACTCAATGACCCAGATGTGATTTGAACACACAACCATCTGATCTGGAGTCAGACGCGCTACCAGCAGGAAAGCCATAGCGCACGATGGTGCAAGGCATTCTTGTTCATGGTTGCACTGATCAAGACACATTGGAACTCAGAGACAAGTGGTGGGCTGTGACTTTTGCGACTAGAGTCTGACATCTGGGCAAGAGTTTCTTCAGAAGACAAGGCACAAGCCCTTTCACGGCATAACCTGACTGGCTTCCCCTTCCCTTTACGTTAAGGGAGATTTTCAAGCTCAAATGGCAGATCTCACCCCAGTGCGTGAGAGTGAAGCGGGACAACTTATACCTGAAGCGCAACTTAGAGACTCAACTGCCTATGTGATAGAACCATGGTTCAACTTTCTTTTGGGTAACTTCACACATTTACCACTTGTACGAGGCCTTTGTGTCATTATATGTGTCAGAAGACTAAGTTACTGATGATTCTTAGGTGAAAGAGTTGCTAGCTTAACTTTGTCACCTTTTAGCATGAGGTTGACAAAGACGTGGATGGTCATCACAGAGATTCGTGTCCATATGATAGTATCCGTATTAGACTGTGAAGAAAATCAACAGTCTGTGTGAAGAAAAGCACACTCAATGACCCAGATGTGATTTGAACACACAACCTTCTGATCTGGAGTCAGACGCGCTACCAGCAGGAAAGCCATAGCACACCATGGTGCAAGGCATTCTTGTTCATGGTTGTACTGATCAAGACACATTGGAACTCAGAGACAAGTGGTGGGCTGTGACTTTTGTGACTAGAGTCTGACATCTGGGCAAGAGTTTCTTCAGAAGACAAGGCACAAGCCCTTTCACGGCATAACCTGACTGGCTTCCCCTTCCCTTGACATTAAGGGAGATTTTCAAGCTCAAATGGCAGATCTCACCTCAGTGCGTGAGGGTGAAGCTTTGGACAACTTATACCTGAAGCGCAACTTGGAGACTCAACTGCCTATGTGATAGAACCATGGTTCAACTTTCTTTTGGTTAACTTCACACATTTACCACTTGTACGAGGCCTTTGTGTCATTATATGTGTCAGATGATGTGTCAGAATCAGTGGCAACGGTGGAATAAAGCTGCTTCTTGCGAGTCATACAGAGCCAAGATTGCACGTCTGTTTGTGAGTGGGACTAACTTGTTTGATAGTCATTTGGTCTCCTTGTGCAGAAAAGACAAGTTTAATTAAATATGCTGATGCTTTTCAAATTATTCTCATACCATGACAAGCAAGGCATTCTTTGAACCAAGACAACACTTCAGAGTTAGCCTCATGAATAAGAGTTATGCTGGTAACAATTTGCAAGTGACATGATGGTCAAAAGGCTACTAGTTGTAAAGGGAAATACGAACAAGGTAGTTAAACAGAAAACACTAGGGT